CCAATAAAATATTCTTGTAATAGACCTTAAAACTGGGGCCATCAGGTGGCATGGTGGTTAAGGCACTGGAGCACCAAATTGCCAACCATGGTTTCAGTCCTGGACCTGGCGGCTTGGTTTATTTCTCTCTCTCTTTCTTTACTTGTTCTTTCTTTCTTTCTTTTTTTTTTTTTTTTTTTTTTTTTTTAAGATTTTTATTGCAGGCTGCATGAGCTTTCTGGAGAGAGATAGAGAGAGGGAAAGTGAGCCCCTTCAGGGGTGGGGGTGGGGGGGAGGTGGTCACACCACAATCCCTTCTCCTCCTGGAATTTTGGGTACGTACCAACATGTACCTGGCCTGTCTTTCAAGCAGCTGGGTTCAGGACTTGAATCATGATGACGGTTATGTGGGACCCAGTGCCTTAAACACCATGCCACCTGGTGGCCTGACTTTGACCTCTTTCAGGAGATAATTCTGGGGAACTGGGGTAAAAATACTGTTTTAAACAGCACCCCATTTATCAGAACCTGTTTGTTGTTTGTGATTCCCCATCACGGTTCTTGGTAAAGAAGCAACAACCATTTTTCCCCATCCTACGGGATAGCAAACCTGGAAACAGGGCTGCCCACAAAAGAAAATGGCAGAAAAACTTCCTTTTTGCATAATGTATTCATTTCAGAATTCAGACCATCAGAAATTGAACTTGACTCTTTTTTTTTTTTAAATTAAAGTATATTTATCTCTGGCCCCTTTTATTTTAGATCCCTATTTTCTTCTTTTCCATTTACCCTTCTTTTCTCATCACCAAATCCAGAGTTCCTGTGGTTATCCACTAGTTAAAGACAGATCATATATATTTTTTATTTTAAAAGAAAAAAGAGGAGGGGAGGAAGGGAGGAAGAAGATCGAAATGTAACAGTCCAAATAAGTCATCTCTGTATGCTTAGGATTATGATAGTTTTATTTTTCTATAGTCATATATTACCACTGAAAACTTTTACATAATGGCATTTGTTAATTTTATAACTAAGGAAATAAAGATATTTTTAAAAGAAAATGTGAAATCTGAAATAAAAGATATTAACAGACTATTCTTAACCTTACTGAGACTAACTGAAGAGAGTTACGCATCTTCATTTAGGAACTTTGGATGTGAAAAAGACTCATCCTATGTTTTTTTTTGAGAGGTTTTTGCTATAGGGTGCGTGTGCTCGCCAGAAAGAAAGCAAGAAATCACCCCCCAGGGAGGATGGCCACGCCGCAATCCCTTCTCCCCCATTCTCCTCTCAGGATCTTGGGCACGCATGTACATGCGCCCAGTGTGAGTTTAAGCCACCGGGTCCAGGACTCAAACCGCGGTCAACTACATGGGAGTTCAGTGACAGAGCCATTACTCCAACTGCTGGTCCCCATCCTATGTATTTTTAATGTATTTATCTAGGATTACTAGGAAAAGAGTTATTTCACATTACAGAAATTTTCCAATAAAACAGTTTCCTTTAAATGATTTCTAAAACTTTAAACTTTTAAAATAAACACCTTTTAAAAACAATATATAGTTTTTAATATACACAGTATGCAGTTAAAGTAGTTTTACCATGCTTATGATAAAAATAAGTCTTCTGTCCCATCCCCAAAACAAACCTAATTCTTGCTCTCAGAGGCAACCACTGTACTCATCCAGCCGTTACATCTGGCACTGTCTTTCAGTGGCACACTCCCGTCATCCATATGTACTTACTCTCTCATGCTCTTAATATTATTTCACAATACTAATTAAAGAAGTTATTGGCTTTTACTTTTTTTTTTAATTGGCTTTTACTTAATGTAAGTTTGTAAATATTGGATCACTGGAAAAGTCATGACCCATTTTTTGCATAGAAAAAATATGTAATGACTTTTCTGACAATCCAATACCATCAGTAGAGAGATTATTAAATTCCTTTCTTGGGCCAGGCAGGCAGTGTGGTGATTAAGGTGCCTGGATCCCACATAGCTAACTGTGCAGTTCGAGTCCCAGAACCAAAGGCATGAAAAACAAGCCAGGTGTAGGCCAGGAGGTGGTGAGGTGGTTAAGGCACTGGATTCCCACATGGTCAACTGCAGTTTGAGTCCCACACCCAGTAGCTTGAAAATCACACTGGCCACGTGTGTGTACCCAAAATCTTGAAAGGGAAAGGGATTGTAGTGTGCCATTTCCCCAGGGAGTGAGTTCTCACTTTCCCTGTCTGTGTCTCTCTCTAGAGAGGAAGCGAGTGTACATGCCTTATGGCAGAAACCTTAAAAAAAAAAAAGGAAGAAAAGAAAAATAAGCCGGGCGCATGTGTATGCCTGCCCCAAATGCCAAGGAAAATGGACTACAGCTTTGTCATCCCCCTTGGGGAGTACTTTCTCACTTCCCTCCCCCTTGCAAGCACAAGCGCCAGCATCCTAAAACAAAATTTAAAAAAAAAATTTATTTCTTGTACAACTTCTTATAATTCTCTGACTCTGACAAATACATTTTTTTTCAGTTTGTTATTTCCTGTGTGCCTATCACTAATTCATCCACAAATTATTTCAATTCCAATTTTTCTTTAGGTAGAATTCTTAGAATTCTTCTCTTTCTAACTCTGATTAAGAATAATCATATTTTCTAGTCTTTCTTCATGATGTTTTCTTGGAATAAAATTCAACTTTTATCTTGGGGATTCCTCTTTCCTATATGGAGTTCCTGAATCCCATATGTCCTCTTTATTTTTTTAAATTTTGGCTATAGCGTGTGTGTGCTCACCAGAGAAACAAAGAGAGAGAGAGTGAGAGAGAAACTGAAAAAGCACCCTCTAGGGGGGATAGTGATGCTGCGATCCCTCCTCCATTTTCCTCTTAAGATCATGCGCACGCATGCACCAACACCTGGTATGTTTTTCAAATCACCAGATCCGAGACACAAACCACATAGTCCTCTGGGTTTTTGTTTTGTTTTGTTTTAAAGAGATTTTTGTTATAGCGTACTTGTGCTTGCCAGAAAGACAGAGGAGAGAGACAGAGAAAGTAAATAAGAAATCATGCCCGGGGGGGATGACCACTCCACAATCCCTTCTCCTCCATTCTCCTTTACAATTCTGGGCATGCACATACATATGCCCAGTCTGGGACTCTAACCACAGGGGTCATAAGGGAGTCCAGCACCTTAACTGCTACATACACGACCTGCTGGTCTCTCTTTTTAAATTTTTTTAATTTGCCAGAGGGCATGTACACTCACCAGACACAGAGAGACAGAGGGAGGAAGAGAAAGCACTTCCTAGTGAGGCATGGTCAAGCCACAATCCCTTCTTCTCCATTTCTCCCCTTTTGTGATGTGGGGCATGCACACACATGCACTTAACTTGTCTTTCAGGTTGTTGGGGCTGGGACAGGATCCATACCAGTGGACCTTGTGGGATCTGGCTCCCCCAAACATCAAGCCACAGAGCTGGCCCTGAATTTTCCTTTTGTGTAGTCCCTACTGTCTTATAGAAAGCAAATTTCTGAACCGAGAATAGGAATGATTATTATTATTATCTTAAATGCTCTTCTGTTAACTATTTTATGTTTCCCAATTTCCTTTCTTCTGTTTGCACTGGTCTGTTTTCCTTAAATATATGGTTTTTCTGACTGATGATTCATAATCGGCATTGAAATACCTAAACAACAAAAAAAAGACATTCTGTGTGCATGGACTAAGCTTGATCAAATTGTGGATTTCTCTGTCCCTGGCACTGAGTGATGCCTGGTGCCTTCTGTTGATTTTCTGGAGTTCCATAGTACAAATAAACTCACCTCTTGGGCATTGCCACTCCCACCTGACTCTCACAACAGGCACCTAGCTATCTACTTTCCAAACTTACATTATTATCACTATTTTTGCCTTCGAGGGATTATAGTTTATTTCTCTTTTATTGTCATGTTAGTGAAGTATCACAAGGAACATGTCAAATGTGTATTCAATCCCTTATATTTATTTCAATGCAAACCTTTTAAAAATTCATTATACATGTATAAGCCTTTTTTTTCCCCTGAAATTTAATTTCCTTCGTTAGTTCAGAATCATCAGTATGAACACTGACTATTAAGCTCTACACAGTCTAATGACCTCAGGGACTACTGAGAAATGAAGGGCAGTTAAATTCCAGATTGATGTGGTTTTTCTATTATTTATGTTTGCTTTTTATAGTGCTTCTATTTCCTCTCTTGCTATTACGGTTATGAGCTGTCTTTTCATTGCTGTTGCTGGGCCTGCCTCTAGAAACATACCTGTCTCCTAACTTCCTGTTTATAATGTGTTGAAGCTCATGAGATTATGTAAAATAAGTTTCAGAAACAGAGCCTGAAACAAAGATCAACGTAAAAGTGACTTACAAGAAGTGCTCCCAAGGAAAATCCAAAAGCTAGGAGGACATGAGATTGAGAGCAAGGAAGCAAAGCAAAGGTGAGACATTAAAGAAACCCTGTGGGGAACCTTAGAAAGGGTAACCTTGGCTAAAACATATGCGGAATTTGGGACAATGTAGGTCCAATCTAAATGTTCTAATTACAACAAAGAGAAATGAAATATTTATATCCCACCTCATCAATCATTTATTAAGGATGGTTGCTTAAGGGATACAAATTTCCAAGCATTTTTGGCTTTCTTTTCTAGCAGGCAAAATGTATCCCAACAGCCCAAGAGCAACTCTCTGACAACCCCCTAACAAAGAGATGCAGCTGCTGAATGTTGGGAGTATTAATGTGCAAGAAAACGTAAGCGGCCGCTGTGGTGATACAGTGGTAGCACACCACTCCATGATGCTGTAGCCATGTGGAAGATAAGAGTTTGGTTCCTGGGTTGATCTGTGCATGCTGTGTGCATGTACACTTGCCTGTAATCCTGGCTGGCTGTGAAGGTAGGGGACAGGAGAGCAGCATGAAACCTTATCTAGCTAGCACCAAGGTTTGACTTATGCCCATAACTTCCAAATCTTGGCCTAGATCTCTCTCTGAACTCTATGTCCACCTCTTACTTGACATTTGACTTGGTGTAAAATACCTCAAGCTTGACAAGTCTCAAACCAAACCCTTAATTTTCTTTCGAAGTCAGCTCCTCCCCCAGTTTTCCCATCTCTGTAAATAGCAACTAAATCCTTTCAGATGCACAGGTAAAAAAAATCCAGGAATAATCCTTGACTTCTCTTTTTCTTTTATACCCAATATCCAATTTCATCAGCAAATCCTGTTAGCTCTACTTTAAATATATACGCAGAATTAGACTCTTCCCCATCATCTCTCACACTACCTAATCAATCCATCATTTTCCCTGCAGAAAATTCAATAATTTAACTAGTTCCCAACCTACCCCTATTCTTAATACAACAACTAGAAGAATCTTTTAAAATGAAAAGTTAGGGGCTGGCTTTGTAGCCTAGTGGTTAATACAGCTAGATCCCACATAGCCCATAGCACAGTTTGAATCCAAAACCGAGTGGCTTGAGAAACACACCAGACGTGTGTATATGCATGCCCAAAATCCTAAAAGGAGGGAAAGTTGAAGAAGGAAGGATAACAGACTGACCATGCCCCAATTGGGGTACCTTCTCCCCTTCTCTTGTAGTCTCTTTCCATCAAGTACATGTGCCCTTGTTAATAAAAAAAAATTAATTAAAAAAAAACACACACACAGAAGTTACATTACCCTCTTCATTTCAATCCTCTCCAATGGCTTTGTTTTCACTTACACTGAAAGTTAATGTCCTCAAGATGGTCTCCAAGTCCCTACACAATCTGAGTTTGAGTCTCTTCTCAGACCTCATCTCCAACTGCTCTCCCCAATTCTGACTCATCCTTGCTTAAATATGCCAGTAAAGTGGCCACCAGGTGGCATGGTGGTTAAGGCACTAGACTCCCATGTGGCTTACCTCAGTTTGTATCCTGGAACGAGTGGCTTGCTTTCTCACTTTCCCTCTCTCTGTATGTCTCTCTCTGGTAAGTGCTTGTGTACCATAGCAAGTTAAAAAATAATCATAATAAATAAAATTAAATACATAATTAATTTTAAAAATGCCAGGCACATTCCCAGTTCAGGATTTTTGCACCTGTCTATTTCCCTGCCTAGAGTACTCTTTTCCCAGATATCCACATGCTTTCTTCCTTATTTCCTTAGGGTCATCTGTTTACAGTTGGGAAAACTGTATAGAACAAGAAAGGAAGTAAAGGAATCTAAAAGCAAAAACAGTTTTTAATAAATTCTCCTTATTTTAGCATCACCCCTTCAGCTCCAGTATCCAGAGCTTAGAGAAATCTACAATATAAATTGGGTTGGTTCACAGTTTTCCCCATTGCTATTTTAGTAGGTTATTTTAGGTTTGCTAGTTGCTACTCATTCATCCACTTTTGAACTTCCAAAAATGAATAGCTATTTTGTCTTCTGTTGTTCACACCATCCTGTGGGCTTATAATTCAAAAAATAAAAACAAAGAACTCTTTAGTTTTAGTTGCAGATTGAAAGGGGGGAAAATGTGATGTGTGTGTTATTTTACCAGCTTTTCCCCCTTATTTTTCTTTTTAGAAACAGAGTCTCATTATACTGCCAAGGCTGGCCTTGGACTCGTGATCCTCCTTTCCCAGCCTCCCTAGTAGCCGAGCTATAGACCCAGCTTATTCTATGTAAATATGGACAGTTTAAATGGATTTCATTAAAAAAACACATATGCTGCAAGGCAAAAACTTTTATAAAAACTAACAAGAGCACTTTAAATTAAAAAAAAAAATCACAAATACAAGAATAGTCCTGAGTGTTTATTGTTCTATTATTACTTTTCATATATTATACATATACTATATTCCTTTTTAATGTGTTAGTATGTAATAATAAGAGAAAACTATAAGTCCATTGTACTGTTTGTGATAATTCCAATTCCTTTGGTGATATAAGAGAACACCTATATTTCTGGAAAAACAGAACCCTGTTTATCACTAAAAAAAAGCCACTGAGTCTCATTTATTACAAACATCATTCCAAAAATGATGTTTATTACAAACAGCATTAAAATCTGAACTATCCAAGGAGCTACACCTGTAGAAAAATCAATTAGGCACTTCCCTAGGATTAAGGCCTAATTTACTCTATATGGAAAAGGTGACATCAAAGCATGCCTTTTTATATCACCAAATAAAGCAAATGGAAAGTATTTGTCAATCGTGACAACAAACAACATAATCATAAATATATTATCACTGATGTTATTATACCAACATTCTACAAATGTAGCAACTAGAAACAAAGCTTACCTGTCCAAGAATATATCTGGGAGTGGTGGATAGGTCTGCATGTCAGGCACTCGCTCATGGACTATAACCATAATGAAAGATGTAAACCCGAACACTATAAAAACATATATACAACTCAGTATGGTCTTCCAGTACTCTGGGTCCAATCTTCGAACAGAATGTTTGTTTTTCCCATTCATGTACTGGTACTGATCGGAATTCAAGTCAGTGATGGGTCCATCACAGTCATGTGGAGGCTCCCCATTACAGAGCCAGTCTGCACTCTGAAGAGCACTGATGAAAGGGGTCATGGAACCCATGGGACTGTCACTGTTGTAGCCCATCTCTTCTAAAACATCGATATGTATTTTCTGCAATTTTCGGACTGACAGCATCAACCTTTTAATGTCCCCTAAAACTTTGATTTCCAGAGGAGGAGACCGGAGATCGTACTCAGTCAACGTGAGCAATGTGATTCCATCAAGTCGGTGCTTATTGCATAAAATGTCCACATATTCAAAAAATCCTTCATCCTTCAGCCACACAGCTACATGCTTGGTAGTCCAGCGGCGAATGCAGAGTTGATTAGGACCTGCCATTTCCTCCTCCACTGCCTGTAAAGGGAAAAGAGGAAAACAAAACAAAAAAGTCAGTGTGTTCTAACAACTTCTCTGAAGACCACATAAACATACCAGAAACAGTAATTTACCTATATTGCTTTATTGGCTTCTAGAGTAGAAGAAAAAAAAATTTAATACCAAGTGGTTTTCAATAGACTAATATTTTAAAACTTTATGCATATAATCTCAATAGCAGATGAAAGGCTAATGATGAAACATTTTTACAGAAAGTACTTTGCATATGGCTTTTCTATAGCCCTACTGGCCATAACTCAATTAAAAAGTCTATAGTTAAGAACAACTGAAAAAAGAATTCCACTTTGGGAACCAGCAGTCAGCATAATGGCTATGTCACTGGACACCCACGTAGTCGACCGCAGTTCACGTCACGGACCCGGTGGCTTAAAACTCATGCCGGACGCGGGTGCGTGCGTGCCCAAGATCCCGAGAGGAGAATGGAGGAGAAGGGATTGCGGCATGACCATCCCCCCTGGGGGGTGATTTCTCGCTTTCTGTGTCTGTCTGGCGAGCGGACGCGACCTACAGCGAAAACCTCACCAAAAAAAAAGAGAGAGAGAGAGAAAAATAAAAGAATTTCACTTTAATACTTTTTTTTTTTTTAATTTCTAGAGAGATTTTTTTACTATAGCTCACAAGTGCTAGCCAAAGAGACAGAAAGCGAAAAATTGCCCCCCTGGGGTGATACCACAATCCTTCTCCTCCACACTACACCATTGTGGCCACACCACAATTCCTTCTCTTCCATTTTCCTCTTGGGATTCTGGGCAGGCATGCATGCACACTCCTGGTTTGAGTTTTAAGGCTCTGGGTCCGAGACTTAAACCATGGTTAACCATGTGGGAATCCAGCGACATAGTTATTACACCATCTTCTGGTTCCGTATTTTAATACTTTTCATAAAATGAGCTACACAGAAAGATTTGTTATATGCAAAACAAACAAACAAACAAACAAACAAATAAATAAAATTATTTTACTTCTTTCTGAAATCTTCCAAGTTCATGGAAAAAGTATCTCTCTACCCTGGGGGGAAGGGCACAAAAGCAAAGTAATTGCAATTCAGGAAACCTTTTAGATTAGGCATATTTCTTTTCTTTTCTTTTTGTTTTTAAAGAATTATTTTATTTAACTTTATTTATTTATTTTAATTTTACCAGAGAGGGACAGAGCGAGAGAGAGAGAGCAAGAGGCAGAGAGCAGGGGTGGGGGGAGGGAAAGTGAGAAAGTAAGCTTCCAGGTCCGGGACTCGAACCGTGGTCAGCCATGTCAGAGTCCAACGCCCTTAACCACCATGCCACCTGCCAGCCCCAGATTAGGCATATTTCTATCTACTACCACATAATGCTTTCTACTTTACATTAGATATAAGTTTGAATCTTAATAATGGTTCAGTTCCTTCTGTCTTTTTTTTTTTAGAAGTTTTTGCCTTAGGGCATGTGTACTGGGGTGGTGTGGAGGGGAGAGAAAGACAGATACAGTGAGAGGGAAAGTGAGAAATCACCTCCCAGGGGCGGGGGGTGGCCATGCCACAATCCCTTCTCCTCTATTCTCCTCCCAGGATCTTGGGCACACATGCACAAGAGCCCAGTGTGAGTTTCAAGCCACCTGGTCTAGGACTTGAACTGCAGTTGGCAGTGTAGGAGTCAAGTGACATAACCGCTATACCATCTGCTGGCCCCTCTATGTCTTGAATATCAATGACAGAACTGAATAAAGCATTTCATCCATAACTGTCACCGAGATTTTAATGACAAAAATTGTTAAAAATGACATTTCAATGTACTCAAAAATGTCATGACCCAAAACTTCATACTGTGGTTATACAAGACCAGTAACACACTATGTTTGAAAAACTACTAATAATTTTTACTATTTGGTCCCACATAGCTCTGTTTATATTCTTTTTCTATTGTAAAACTTGCAATTACTTTGGCCTATATCAGTTTTATATATCAGACAAATGGGAGACAAAGGCCTGCATGGGAAAAAAAATTGTTTTTTAAAAAATTTACTGTAGGGTGTGTGAGCTCACAGGAGGGGGTGTTGAGAAAGCATCCCCACTGGCAAGGGATGACCATGCGACAGCCCTTTCTCCTCCATTCTCCTCTTGGGATTTGGGGCAAGTATGCACAAGCACCCATTGTGTTTTTTCAGGTCCAGGACAGAACGGTGTGGTTGGTCATGTGGGATCCAGCTCTCTTAACCACTATGCCATCTGGCTAGCCCAAAACCTATTTCTTAAAACTCCTTTCTCAACCACTGAAGCCTATGGGTTTCCTGACATTTTCCAGATCTCTAAAGACTGTATTTCCTTTCAAAAAGCCTTTTTTTCCCTTGAGAGACAGATTTTTGGTATAGGCTGCATGCACTCACCAGAGAGACAGAGAAACAGTAGGCAAGAAATCACTCCCCATGGGGAATGGCCACACTGCAATCTCTTCTCCTCCATTCTTCTCTTAGGATCTCATGTGAGTTTTAAGCCATCAGGTCCGTGACTCGAACCATGGTCAACTCCGTGAGAATATAGCAAAGTAACCATTGTGCCATCTGCTGGTCCCCGAAATGCTTTTTCTTTTTTTTGAAAAAAAAAAAAAAAAAAAAAAGCAAAAAAAAAAACATGGTAGGTAAAATTCAAAGCAAAAAAAAAAGAAAGAAAGAAAGAAAAAAAAAAAAGAAATGATATGACCGTCATGTGCCTACACCAAAGCTTGGGAAAAAAAAAAAAATTCCAATACAAATATTCTTCTTAATCTGGATATTAGTCACACAGGTATGTTCTTTCTGTGAAAATTCAAGTTGTATACCAATGACCTATGTTTTTCTACATATACATTAAACTTTATTTTTAAAAAGTTTCTTTTAGGGCCAGCAAGTGGGGTGGTCATTAAGGTGCTGGATTCCCACATGCATGGTCCTCTTTGAGTCCAGGACCAGGCAACTTGAAAATCATACCGGGTGCATGTAAATGTGTGTACGTGCTCAAAATCTTGAGAAGAGAATGGAGGAGAAGGAACTGCAACATGTCTATTCCCCCAGAGTGCAATTTCTCACTTTCCCTCTCTCTGTCTCTCTGTCTCTCTAGCAAGCATACATGGCCTATGACAAAAAACTAAAATAATAAATCCTTTAAAAAGCAAACAAAATATTAATACAAAAGAATTATTCTGTAGGACAAATGAATGTCCTTCAGGATGCCCTGGGTGCTATCAGATGTATAACTTCCTCTCCTCCCAGATGTGTAACTTCTGATTTTGGTGTCTATCACTACCTTCCGACATGATTCTTAGCAACGAAGACCTTCTGCTTCCCTATGTGGAGGTAAGTAAAAAGTTGAAACTGTCCTACATTCTTCTACCAACACAAACTTTTATCACACAGACTTACATAATCACTTGGCAAAGGCAGACATTAACTACATGAGCACCACTTGTATCATTAGAACTATTCAGAAAATAAGAAATACACTTGGATAAAATTGTCCTACAGATAAATGCCATGAAAATATCAGTTAGTCATTAGATATTTATCTCTTAATTACTAAAAAGCCATCTTAGTTTTTTGAAAGACTTACATCATATTTTGTTTCCAAATAGATATCTTAATATATTTAATATAATTTAACATTATCAATCCATATAGTTTTTCAGTTTTAGAAATTAACATTACCTCCATCTTCAACAAGTCTATATATTTTAAACAGTTGTCTAATTATTATATACTGTAAAGTTACAAAAATTCTTATTTCACTCTTTTTAGTTACAGTATATCATCAAGGAATTTTCATTTATTCACTTTAACACAGGGAACTTACATATTGGTATATTATATATTGTTTTCTATTATTTATTAAATATCATATAAACAATTCCATTAGAAATATGATTTTGCTATATTTTAGTTCACATACATACTAGATAGTTTCACCCTAACCACCGAGTACTTTTCCCAAAGGTAAGCTTGAGCAAAATTACTTCGTCCTTGAATACTAACAAGCACATGCTACAAACTCTGTAGTAGTGATGGTAAAGCTCATCTCACATAAAACAAGGCCGCGTTTCTTCGGTCATTCTATCTCTATATTGCTTCCTATCCCCTTTCTCTAACAGCTTACCACCAATGGGTTCCAGGTCACTCCCATCCTTGTAGCATTATTCTTCAGTATAGTTTCATCTCATACTCTGCTTACAATGGTGCTTCTTTCATTTTTTTTTTTTTTTCTGTATTAGCTCACTAGTTCTTTATGATCTCAATCAGCCTAAACAGCTTTGATGCGAACATTTTGGCCACTAGAAAATAGGAGTTCTCATATGTGGTGGAGCCTCCTGGAAGTCTTTGAGCCTGCTGTGGGAAAGCCCTGGAAGCATGACACATACTACTGTTCTGCTTCATCAGGTCAGAGCACATCCTTTAATTGTATGCTAGCACATAATCATTAGAGGCCCATACTAAATCACTACTTAGCTAACACTGTGGAAGCCTGCATTAAAGAGGTGTATTAAAAGATGATAAAAAGCTTTAGAGTCCATGTAATATTCATGTTGTACCATAGGAATTACAGGGAACAGGAGACTGAACAAAGAATAGGACAGATACGGGTTTCAGACAAATCCATAAAATGGAGAAATTAGGTTAGTAAATATTTAAGAATGCTTTCAGTTTCAACCAATCATTGATAAAAATTGATTTTCAGTTAAAGAGACTTCTGTTTCTGGCCAAGATATATCAAGGACCAGATTTACCCTCTAACCTAAAAAATACAGATGAAATATTCAAGAAGAAAGTTTCAAGACACTGAACATCAGAAAAATTCCTGAAATGGGAAATAAATAAGGTGAGCCCAACCACCCCACCTTACTGCCTTGAGAGCTTCTAGGTCATGAGAGGTACAGGACAGAAAACCCAGATGAGCCCAGCAGAACCACTGAGTGAGCAGATGGAACTGAGAGTGTGAGGTGTCAAGGACAGCTGTTTGT